ATTAGCGAAAATTAGAAACTTAAAATTTTAAATATCTCAAAAATATATTATGTAAACTAGTTTTAAGATTCTAATTATTTTTTTATTTTTATTTTTATTTTACTTATCTTTATTTTATTTTTATGGGTTTATTTATTTATTTTCATTTTTGATTTTTATTTTTTTTTATTTTTACTTTTATTAATTTTAATAATAATAATAATAATAATAATTTTCTAGGTACTACTGATCGAGTACTTCAACACAAAAACCATCTGTTTGATCTTTTAGTAAATATGCCTGCTCGCGAGTCAAATCATTCACATCCAACTTTAGTCGCATCACCCGGATCACATCTGTCCACAAACATAAATGCTACTGATATTAGACGCTATAGGGTTTTGCTCAAAATATTGGCATCTTATGGAATAAACTATTTAGATGGGTATGAGGAAGATGGAGGAAATTTGACTGATACTTGGCGCAAAATGATGTTTGGTGGGTGGTTTTGGTGGTATGGGAGAGATGGGTATCAGAAATTAAATGATAATTATGAGGGTGAGGGTGAAGGTGATGAAGGCGACATGTTACTGAGTTATCATGACGATCCCTCACAAGATGGACAAAATGTTGACGGATCTAAAGATGTTCCGGAAATTGAGGTGGAATTAATAAGGTATATTTATATCTCTTTATTGTTATATGTTTATATTGATTTACTCTTGTTTAAACCAATATTTTCTTTACAAGATTTTTTCAAGCTTTAACAACTAGTCTTTTCAATACGTTGCGATCGATGATCGCAACATCTAACGTGTACGAGTCTGACGATGAGATAACTTTCCTTTACTCAGATCACTTAATTCAGCTTGGCTTAGATCCACGTGATGATGGAGCATTTGTCGAAGAGTTGGCAGAAATGTATTTCGGTAAAGAGGTTGAAGTTGTGGGAAAAGGTGGTAATATTTTAATTCAATCATGTTCGGAGTTGTGTTCTTTGGATGAGGTATGTTGCTGCTGTCGGGTTTAATTCATGAATGATTTAATATGCATTTATATAGCCATTTTCAGCTTATTTATATCCCAACCTTCAATACGAAGGCAAGAACATGTGCGTGCCATTTCTTTTCAAAATTTGTATTTGTATTTTAGTTATTTATTTATTTATCTTGATAACAACTTCAAGGGTTATCGACACAAGAATATGGAATTATATTAATAAAT